TACCACTGCTGCCTTATTCACTCTTGTGTTGATGTTAATTATGGTGATGGTGCATTATCCTCATAATGCACTCAAAGTCTGCCAGTGTAGACTACTTATCACATGCCTCTGTATGACTAACCATCCTGTGTGACAGGAATTTTTAGCATTTTTTGACACGCTGTATTCCCCTTCATATAGTCTAGGGCAGCTGTACAAATGCACAAGTGTTAATACAAAAAAAAAAAATACTCATATACTCGCATACCTGTGCACCTTTTCTCAATGTTTGTCGGTTTTGTTTACATCTATTATACAGTTTACGAGCATCAAAACTTCTCAATCAACAGTTATTCTTATAAACAGCCTCAGAGTGTTCGGAGCTCACAAGCTATTTAGTATATGTCAACAAAACCGCCAAACATTGAGAAAAGATGTACAGGTTTGTGAGTAGATGGTTAACTGTTTGACGAATCCTGGCTCTGAACCATCACAAAATTGCAACTTGTTTGTGAATATCCAAATTCAGACTTCCATATTTAAGTCCCTTTTAGTATATAGTAACTTAAGGACAGGACAGGCTTTGTTAACAGTATAACCAACACTCGTCAAGTTTTTATGAAATAGGATATCACTTTTAATATTGGTATCTTAACACGGAGGAGATTGTGGGTTCCGTTCTTCCCCTTAAAGTTACGTGAATTGCAGGAAATGTGTGTTGTCGCTGACTCGGGAAATGTGAAAGTTACCGAGACTAATTTCCTCTCTAAACAGTCGTCTGACAGAAAGTTGTCGATGTAGATGAAGATTGGTGGAGCAGGTACCGTCACCAATCGCCCAAAAGTTTTTAATAGTTATCTATTCGCACAATTGTGATGATCATAGATGATCCCACAATTCTTTAAAGCACATGCGCTTACATCCATCCCCATCTCTCTCGGAGCCTACTGCTGTTCGTAGGCGTAACGGTTCCAAACAGTTGGTACGACAATTCTAGTGATGATACGAATATTCTTGATGAATTATCTTGGATTATTATAGACCACCATCAGTATCATTTGACTGTTTCGGCTTCCTGCTGCAGATCTGATGTCCTTCCCTGGCGGTCTTTGATGGTTTGTGAACTGATTCGGCTCCCCCTAGGGTTCTGTAGATCCTCTGTGAAGACTGCGGGATTTGATGTATAGCAACGCTCGCCACAAGTGCTCTCTCTCTTGACAACATGGGGGCGGATTGCGAATTTTGCAGGCTTCCCTGGCTACGTGCTCAAGCTGCAGCATTCTCTTGGACTGGACTAACATACGCCGTGAACCCCCTGAAGATTTACTGGGTCAGGCTATTGAAAGCCATCTTTATCTTGGTTCTCAAGCAGATGTTAATATGTGCCTCCGGTGTTTAAAGGTGGTGTTGCATCCACTCCTTAAACAGTTTTGTTGTGCTAGTCTCTTCCCTCTTCTTGACCTCATTATTGCCACAATTTTGGGAATTAAATTCCAGAAGCCATTTGTTGGAAAATTTCTGCAGCCTATCTAGGTCCTCCTGTAATCCTTTTCGGTCCTTACCCCATTTCCTCAACGTAGCTTTGTCTGCCAACTTGGGCATGTCCCCAAACTACTTTTGAAAGGTCAGTTTTGTAAATCGGGAAGAGTACTGGTTCAAATAGTGTGTATACTTGCCTAATTGTGCCTGTGGGGGAGGGGGGGGGGTGAATTTCGGCTCTTTGGTCTTGCCTTTCGACTGTCAATCAACTGGTGGACAGGTTTTTGAGCCTATTGGGCGCTATCATATCTACAGTTGAAACTGTGTGTGTGTGTGTGTGTGTGTGTGTGGAGTGAGACTTCGTGGTTGTGTGTGTGTGTGGAGTGAGACTTCGTGGTTGTGTGTGTGTGTGGAGTGAGACTTCGTGGTTGTGTGTGTGTGGAGTGAGGCTGGTGGTTGTGTGTGTGTGTGGAGTGAGGCTCGTGGTTGTGTGTGTGTGTGGAGTGAGACTTCGTGGTTGTGTGTGTGTGTGGAGTGAGACTTCGTGGTTGTGTGTGTGTGTGGAGTGAGGCTGGTGGTTGTGTGTGTGGAGTGAGGCTCGTGGTTGTGTGTGTGTGTGGAGTGAGACTTCGTGGTTGTGTGTGTGTGTGGAGTGAGACTTCGTGGTTGTGTGTGTGTGGAGTGAGGCTCGTGGTTGTGTGTGTGTGTGGAGTGAGGCTGGTGGTTGTGTGTGTGTGTGGAGTGAGACTTCGTGGTTGTGTGTGTGTGGAGTGAGGTTGGTGGTTGTGTGTGTGTGTGGAGTGAGGCTCGTGGTTGTGTGTGTGTGTGGAGTGAGGCTCGTGGTTGTGTGTGTGTGTGGAGTGAGGCTCGTGGTTGTGTGTGTGTGGAGTGAGGTTGGTGGTTGTGTGTGTGTGTGGAGTGAGGTTGGTGGTTGTGTGTGTGTGTGGAGTGAGACTTCGTGGTTGTGTGTGTGTGGAGTGAGGTTGGTGGTTGTGTGTGTGTGTGGAGTGAGGTTGGTGGTTGTGTGTGTGTGTGGAGTGAGACTTCGTGGTTGTGTGTGTGTGTGTGTGTGTGTGGAGTGAGACTTCGTGGTTGTGTGTGTGTGTGGAGTGAGACTTCGTGGTTGTGTGTGTGTGGAGTGAGACTTCGTGGTTGTGTGTGTGTGTGGAGTGAGGTTGGTGGTTGTGTGTGTGTGTGGAGTGAGGTTGGTGGTTGTGTGTGTGTGTGGAGTGAGGTTGGTGGTTGTGTGTGTGTGTGGAGTGAGGTTGGTGGTTGTGTGTGTGTGGAGTGAGACTTCGTGGTTGTGTATGTGTGTGGAGTGAGGTTGGTGGTTGTGTGTGTGTGTGGAGTGAGGTTGGTGGTTGTGTATGTGTGTGGAGTGAGACTTCGTGGTTGTGTGTGTGTGTGGAGTGAGGTTGGTGGTTGTGTATGTGTGTGGAGTGAGGTTGGTGGTTGTGTGTGTGTGTGGAGTGAGGTTGGTGGTTGTGTATGTGTGTGGAGTGAGGTTGGTGGTTGTGTGTGTGTGTGGAGTGAGACTTCGTGGTTGTGTGTGTGTGTGGAGTGAGGTTGGTGGTTGTGTGTGTGTGTGGAGTGAGGTTGGTGGTTGTGTGTGTGTGTGGAGTGAGACTTCGTGGTTGTGTGTGTGTGGAGTGAGGTTGGTGGTTGTGTGTGTGTGTGGAGTGAGACTTCGTGGTTGTGTATGTGTGGAGTGAGACTTCGTGGTTGTGTGTGTGGAGTGAGGCTGGTGGTTGTGTGTGTGGAGTGAGGCTCGTGGTTGTGTGTGTGTGTGTGTGTGTGTGTGTGTGTGTGTGTGTGTGTGTGTGTGTGTGTGTGTGGAGTGTGGTTGTGTGTGTGGAGTGAGGCTCGTGGTTGTGTGTGTGTGTGTGTGTGTGTGTGTGTGTGTGTGTGTGTGTGTGTGTGTGTGTGTGGAGTGTGGTTGTGTGTGTGGAGTGAGGCTCGTGGTTGTGTGTGTGGAGTAAGAAGAGTGGTGGTGGTGGTGGTGGTGGGTGCCTGGGCCCCAGCCCCGGTGTAGCGCCTTCCCTGTAACCTATTGATTCTGCCGTGTGTGGAGGGAGTGTCCACATTCCACTATCTCCCCACCATCTACTCCTGCCTCTCCTCTCTCTCTTTCTCTTCTCCCTGGATATCCATCAGTTGTAAAAATAGTTTTTAAGAAATTCCAGAATGGAGAAAAGTGTTGAAAATGAGATGACTTGAGTGGCGTGCGAGTGCGCAGGTCGACCTTCAACTTGCAGAGGGGGAGGACGGGCAGTCTAGGGTGCAGGGAAGTGAAACGTAGCCATGTGCGTGAGTTCTTGGTCTGGGCCCTCGAGTGGTGCTACAATGGCGGCAGTTACGGGCCTGGGGGCATGGAGGGCGTCGTGATAGTGGCGTGGGCGTGGTGTCGCGGTTGTCACGCTCGGCTCCCGGCATTTCCATCAGCTGACAGTCGTGGGCAGGTGTCTTAACTATAGTGCAGCGGCACGCTGCTGCCTATGGTCCGCTACTGTGTGTTCTGCCATGTTCACCACCGCCAGCTGTAGGGGATGCGGCGCCCGTGCTTCGCTCACCTCTCACGGGCTCTTCTCTAACTGTCTATCACGCTTGGCACTGTTCCTGAGGTAAACATGGCACTGTGATATAAAGCGCCGTCAGACGCTGTTGAGTGTGAAGGACTATGTCGCCGCGCAACTCTGGCTCACCAGGCCACGTTAAGCTGCCGGCACCCGCCTCCACTAACGCTCACCGCTGGAATATTTGTGCTCAACGTGAGGGAAAAAGGTGACTTTGTGTGCTATTGATCACTCTAGTCGCCGGTTGTTGCCACTGTGCCTTTAAAGCGTTTGTTATTGTTGCAACTACACTGTACCACATACCGACCAAATGGAAGGTAACATAACTTGTGCACATATCTTCTTGGTGTTAAATGAATCACTAGCAGTGTGAAGCAGTCATATAACCGGGTACAGCTACATCGAACACAAGCCAGGCGGACTATCGAACATTCGCCATGGATAAACTGCTGCAAAAACTCCGCCAGAATATGGTGAGTATTCCAGCGCCCTCTGCAACACACCCCCCTACCCCCCCAAATCCTCATATCCACATTATCCTTCACCTGCTCACTAGCTCTTGGCCCTCGTCAAGATTGATCATTCCTGAACGAAGCTTTCTTTGTTACCACAATGCACTCGCACAGATCTGTTCATTGCATCTTGCATATTTTGACGGTGTTGCGAGCGAGGGGAGACATGGCAGGAGTATAGGCTTACCAAGAGTAATAATACTCGAGAGATTACAGTCGAGGCAAAGGTACCAATTACCAAAGGTAATTGGTAAAGGTAACCACTACCAAAGGTACAAATTAATGTCCCACCTCCCGTCTTTTCAGTCAAAAACATTAACCTCTCAGCCGTCTGGAAATTTCCGAAGTCCGCCCTACGGAAATTAGCATTTGTCTTCAGTTTAATTTTTTGGTGTTTCAAGAGATTATTTTTTAGTAATGTTTGAACGTGGGATATTTTCCTTTTAATCGCGTTCTATCACTTTGTTATTTCTGTCTTGAATATCCTGGTCAATATTTTCCTCACATTGACAACCCTGGTCAATAGCTTCATCACCAGGACCACCCTGATGGATACCATCATCACCAGGACCACCTTGATGGATACCGTCATCACCAGGACCACCCTGATGGATACCATCATCACCAGGACCACCTTGATGGATACCGTCATCACCAGAACCATCCTCTGATGGATACCATCATCACCAGGACCATCCTGATGGATACCGTCATCACCAGGACCACCCTGATGGATACCGTCATCACCAGGACCATCCTGATGAATACCGTCATCACCAGGACCATCCTGATGGATACCGTCATCACCAGGACCATCCTGATGGATACCGTCATCACCAGGACCATCCTGATGGATACCGTCATCACCAGGACCATCCTGATGGATACCGTCATCACCAGGACCATCCTGATGGATACCGTCATCACCAGGACCATCCTGATGGATACCGTCATCACCAGGACCATCCTGATGGATACCGTCATCACCAGGACCATCCTGATGGATACCGTCATCACCAGGACCATCCTGATGGATACCGTCATCACCAGGACCATCCTGATGGATACCGTCATCACCAGGACCATCCTGATGGATACCGTCATCACCAGGACCATCCTGATGGATACCGTCATCACCAGGACCACCCTGATGGATACCGTCATCACCAGGACCATCCTGATGGATACCGTCATCACCAGGACCATCCTGATGGATATAATCATCACCAGGACCATCCTGATGAATACCGTCATCACCAGGACCATCCTGATGAATACCATCATCACCAGGACCATCCTGATGAATACCATCATCACCAGGACCATCCTGATGAATACCATCATCACCAGGACCACCCTGATGGATACCGTCATCACCAGGACCACCCTGATGGATACCATCATCACCAGGACCATTCTGATGGATACCATCATCACCAGGACCATCCTGATGAATACCATCATCACCAGGACCATCCTGATGGATACCGTCATCACCAGGACCATCCTGATGGATACCGTCATCACCAGGACCATCCTGATGGATACCGTCATCACCAGGACCATCCTGATGGATACCGTCATCACCAGGACCATCCTGATGGATATAATCATCACCAGGACCATCCTGATGGATACCGTCATCACCAGGACCATCCTGATGGATACCGTCATCACCAGGACCATCCTGATGGATACCGTCATCACCAGGACCATCCTGATGGATATAATCATCACCAGGACCATCCTGATGGATACCGTCATCACCAGGACCATCCTGATGGATACCGTCATCACCAGGACCATCCTGATGGATACCGTCATCACCAGGACCATCCTGATGGATATAATCATCACCAGGACCATCCTGATGGATATAATCATCACCAGGACCATCCTGATGGATACCGTCATCACCAGGACCATCCTGATGGATATAATCATCACCAGGACCATCCTGATGGATACCGTCATCACCAGGACCACCCTGATGGATATAGTCATCACCAGGACCACCCTGATGGATACCGTCATCACCAGGACCACCCTGATCAAGCGGACTCTGTGGTCATGTCTCCAAAGGGTCCGCTTGTCAACTTGACACTAAACAGAGACCGGAAAGTCTTAACAAATATCATACGAAGGTAATTTAGCAGTGTTTGAGGGTTGTATGGGTGTGAAGTGCGGGGAACCAGCGAGGTGCTGACCCTGTTGAGCTAAATTGCATATTGAGGATATGTTCAAGAAGTATTTGAGGTGTCCTCGTACTGTTGCTTACGTCTGGCAATGTAATATACATCGTTTTTGTGATGTCAAAACTCGAATGGACGGGCTGGGTGTCCACAGATATCCATGACCACAGACATCCATGACAAATTATTGGCGAATGGTCTTTTGACTTAAGATCATTAGCTCTCTCATTCAGGCCACTTTATTCGTCCAAACATATGAAGATAAGGTAATTATAAAGAAATACAAGAAATGTATGATGTATATAAAGGCGAAACAGGTCTGCATCATAGAATAAAACAACTAGTTAGCAGGGTTACTGGCTCCCAGCTGGACACTCTGCATTATTATGGAATTACTGGTAATAAGAGATGGCGTGTTGACAGTCTATATCGGGTCGATGTTTGAGCCCCGCTACAGTAGGCTGTGTTCACAATTTGATCCCCTGTTAATCCCGGAATCGAATGATGATGAAGAACTGATGACATTATACAGTGTTTCTAAAATTTCGTCTTTATATTCGTGTTGCTGTTGTATCTGTGTTCGTATAACATCTTCGGTATACATATTATACTAGGCAAGATAAATGTTTCTTATTTTGTGCTAGGCTATCCAATTTTCGTCAATGTAAGTTACCTCACACTTCAAAATTTATGATTTATATTCCATAAAATTCACATTAAGAATAATTACAATGAGTTCATTTGCAAAAATAACTGAAACATAACTTTTTCGTGAGCATTTATGCAAATAAACCAATCGGTAAATCCAAGGCGGTGTTGCGGGTGGTAAATCCTAACTCCATAACGTTACCCGCTCTAATCCCACTTGCAAATGGAGGCTTGTGTGCCATCTTTTGTTGGAAGTTGTTAAAGCTTTCTTTCTCCAGATGAATTACAATCTCGAGGTCTTCTGGTAGGAGCGTGATATGCTATATTTTTTGTACAATTTTATACCATTAACAGTGGAGATAGATAGGCATCTTTTGAAATATTTGTTTAAGGTTTATAGAGGGAGAGAGAGAGAGAGAGAGAGAGAGAGAGAGAGAGAGAGAGAGAGAGAGAGAGAGAGAGAGAGAGAGAGAGAGAGAGAGAGAGAGAGAGAGAGAGAGAGAGAAAGAGAGAGAGAGAGAGAGGGGGGAGAGTGGGAGAGAGCTTGGGAAATAGAAGGGGAGGACCACCACTGTGGTGGGAGGTCTGGCGTCTGCATCAACATCCAATTAAGTGTGGTAAAAGAGCTTGTGTCATCTCTTGATGGGCTGTCAGGTAGTTGGATCCCCGACCTGTTTGTCCTGCAGCCTGCCTGCAGCCTGCCGACCTGACCAGCAGCGGACTTGTGTCTTTTGTAGCCTGCTTGCCCACGTGTGGTGCAGCCTATCCTGCACGCCTTCCCTAGAGCCCTGTCCTCCTTGCCTGTTGTACAGCCTAACCTAACCTAACTTGGGTTGCCATGCAGTTTGCCAGCATGACATTTCATCAGACTTTTCTCTCTACAACCAGTAACTGATTAAGCATATTATGCTTAAGGATGTGATTTATTCCATATTTGTATGTGTGATCTATTTCTTATGTTTATAAGGTGGGAAAGATAGTGCATGGGCTGCTAGTCATCCGGATTACGACTACGACCTGCTTTTGGATGACATCATGTAGCCTACTATCTTTGTAACGCTTCTCTCTATTACGTGAAGCAAAAGAAACATCTTCAATTCCTTTTCTGGCTGTTCCCAGCACTTATAGGCTGCTCTTAACATTCACGCACCCATGCGTCGAATATTCTCATCCATGCGTCGCATATTCTCATCCATGCGTCGCATATTCTCATCCATGCGTCGCATATTCCCACCCATGCGTCGGATTTTCACTTCCATGCGTCATGTCCATACGCGCATGCGTCATATTAAAAAACCATGCATGCTCGTACGAGCATAAATACCTGTGTACATCAATACATGTGTTCACATATATCCTAAAGGGCATCATATATAAATACATAGGCCTTCATATATACCGTCACATACACATATATATTCGTCCTACATAGCTTAACTCTCTCGTTTGCATAAAAAATAATAATTATTATTAATTTTGTTCAGTTGTTGTTTAAGATTCGCTACCTGGCACAAAAAGTTCCTGGCAGCACGGGCTATGGTGAGCCCGTAGTAATTTGTTCAGTTAATGTTATTCGTGTGGTGTTAATCTGGTATAGGCTCTCAGTAGACTGTCGCTGTATATGCTAATTATTTAAATAACTCATCATTGTTGTAACTTGCTCAGCTTTTACGAGGTTATTTACGAGGCACTAAGTCGTTAGTGGTAAGAGCTGAGTGCTTTCTCCTGATCATTACCTTACCTCAGGGAGGGGGGGGGGGTAGAAATAGCCTAAGGTACTCTATCCCTTTGAGATGTATTTATTTCTTGTCTCAATAAACATACTTGAACTTAACCTCAGCTTTTAGGAACGTTGGCGAGGCTGGTATGTGTACTTGTGTAACCCTTTTCCACTACCACTAACAGTGTGTATAATGTAGGTACAATGTGTAGGATGCACGGGGGAGACATCTCCCGTCACGCAGGGTGCAGTCGCACCTCCACAGGTCTCCAGTGTCAGCTCTTGATATTGGTAATGGCTCAAAAGGGCCACCACTTACGGGCTATTCATGCCCGTGCCACCTTTTGGGTGGCTTAATCTTCATCAATCTGTAGGATGTGTGGACTGAAGATGAGGCTTTACAAACCTCTGGGAGATGGTTGAGCTTCGCATGTGTCACTCCTGCTATCTCGCAGGAGTGACACACATCTGGGCTCTCTCGCCTAACACAATGCGTTTTTTTTCACGGAATGAACTAATCCGCTAAAAATGCGACGTACTAGTGAAAATTTAAAGCGTTGTAAAAATCGACGTTTTCTACCCATCAGCCTCTATAGATTGGGTGGTTTGTTTGGGTTTGTATGTTTCTGGTTAGGGTAAACTGTTGTGTTCTCCGGAGTGCTAGAGCCAGAGAAGGTGTGGGTGTTCTCTGGAGACCAATTCGACTCCTTGAGAGCCTCGTCAACCCTCGGCGTCTCGATTCCCAACGTCTTCCCATTACCAGCGGCCATATAAATATATTTATTTTCTGACGGAAACGGAATTCGCCCGCAAATTGAACCCTCCCAGGGGACCGTTGACAAAGCCGTGGCATCTTTAAAGAGAGAGATATCACACCAACTGCTCTCTCTCTCTCTCTCTCTCTCTCTCTCTCTCTCTCTCTCTCTCTCTCTCTCTCTCTCTCTCTCTCTCTCTCTCTCTCTCTCTCTCTCTCTCTCTCTCTCTCTCTCTCTCTCTCTCTCTCTCTCTCTCTCTCTCTCTCTCTCTCTCTCTCTCTCTCTCTCTCTCTCACTCACTATTTTCTGCCACTTCTTATTTTTCTATTTCCCCCTTATTCCTTTTTATTATTTCCCTCATATTTTGCCACATCTCCACCCTACGATTCGCTCGTTCAGTCTATCTGTTTTTGACCACAAAAGAGGGAGTTAGTTTTTCAATGGGTTAGTTATGACGGTTGGTTGGGGGTCAGCTGCGGTCTAGCTATGTTGTCTTTTCTCGTGGGTATAGCAGTGTATTTCAGACAAAAACGTACTTCTTCTGTAGCTAGAACGGGTATTTTTGGTCAGTGGTTATGGATTGTGGAGCGTTGACTCTTTCAGTGGGGCTGAGTCGCATTTAATATAAGTGGAGGCAGATCACGGAGACGTGGAGGCAGATCACGGAGACGTGGAGGCAGATTATAGTACAATGGAGACACTTTTCAGTGAAATACACATTATTTATCGCGAGTACACAATACTGTACGTGTTCCAGCGACTGGTCCGTACATTGATGTACGGACCAGTATACCTTAGTTGTATCCCGTTTTCTGTCACCGGCTGAGGACGGGATGACGCGTACCTTGCAAAGGTCTCGCTGGGAAAATTTGTACACACTGAAGCCTATAGAGATGTGGCAGCTACAGGTAGTTCAAGTTCAAGTATGCTTATTGAGACAAGAAAAAATACATCTCAAAGGGATAGCTTAGGCTATTTCTACCCCTCTTATTATTATTAACATCTTTATTGACAAAATTAATTACAATTTTGCCTAATCTGAGGATTTTGATAGTCTTATTAAATTGAGGTTAATGGTAGTATTCACTGTCACGCAGGACAGAGGGTCATACATAAGACAGTAGGTCTAAACTGTAGGCTGAAGCACATATATATCATGGTTACAATCAATGTTTTAATGTGTGGATATGTGAAAACAACTTTCTATTGTGCACTGCCACACAAGGGCAGGGATGGGTTCATCGCTTGTCGAGGAAAATCAATTCACTCCAAAAGAGAGCGCCGCGTTTAACCAGGGCTCGGCGGTCTCGGGTATAGTAATCTCAACACGGGTAACTTTTCCCTTGACAAAGCTTAACACATGCAGGCGAGGAGTCACAATAACGTGGCTAAAGTATGTTGACCAGACCACACACTAGAATGTGAAGGGACGACGACGTTTCGGTCCGTCCTGGACCATTCTCCAGTTGACTTGAGAATGGTCCAGGACGGACCGAAACGTCGTCATCTCTTCACTTTCTAGTGTGTGGTTTGGTCAGCAAGCTTATCACATGGTCTTACTATTGTGCAGAGTTACCCATGAGAGCTGCTATGCGTAAGTGGGCGCCTGACAGCTGGGTGGACAGCGCTTCGGATTCGTAGTCCTGAGGTTCCGGGTTCGCCCTCCCGGTGGAGGCGGAGACAAATGGGTAAAATATTTCTTTCACCCTGATGCCCCTGTTGCCTAGCAGTAAATAGGTACCTGGGAGTTAGACAGCTGCTACGGGCTGCTTCCTGGGGGGTGTGTAACAAAAAGGAGGCCTGGTCGAGGACCGGGCCGCGGGGACGCTAAGCCCCGAAATCATCTCAAGATATGACGGTATCTAGCAGGATCTAAGAGGTACGACACCGGAAGGTGGGTTGATTTGCACAATATATTTAATTTCCATATGCATATCTATGCAACCGCCTCCTCCCCCCCCCTCGTCTTCTCTCTCTCTCTCTCTCTCTCTCTCTCTCTCTCTCTCTCTCTCTCTCTCTCTCTCTCTCTCTCTCTCTCTCTCTCTCTCTCTCTCCCTCCCTGCCTTGCTCAAGCAGAAGACCTACTGCCTGGTGCCTGCCCTACACCCTGGTGCCTGCCCTACACCCTGGTGCCTGCCCTACACCCTGGTGCCTGCCCTACACCCCGGTGCCTGCCCTACACCCCGGTGCCTGCCCTACACCCCGGTGCCTGCCCTACACCCTGGTGCCAGCCCTACACCCCTGGTGCCTGCCCTACACCCCGGTGCCTGCCCTACACCCCCGGTGCCTGCCCTACACCCTGGTGCCGGCCCTACACCCGCCAGACTGTGGGTGTAGGAGGGAGGCCAGCCGGCGACAACACCACTCCCCTCCCCCGGCCAGTTATCACCCCCACGCAAGTGTCCACGCCGCCTCACACGGCCGTACCAGACATACAACGCGCATTAGTGCTTTAATGTACTCATTAGTTTTTGCCCCAGTGTGTTTTCATGACTTTTTAAGGCCCGGTCAGTGATGTATTCACAGCAATAACTACACCAATGCTAATGGACGCCATTAATTTTGCGAGGTGGCGCTGGGTCAGACTCGTCGACGCCTCTCCTTGTTGGAACGTTTAAAATGGGTTTGCTTTATGAGTATTTCTTTAAGGCTATGGGCACGGCATTATTCATTATTGATAGTTTTACACATGCCACACATTATGACGCAGGAACATTTCTCGACCTTCGCTGACAAGTCGTGACTCTGTAAATGCTTCACCCACTTACTGCAAATACATTTACCAACAGAACCTAAACACCTAACTTATGCCTAAATATACACATTATACTAATATATAATAAGAAAAATCATTTATATTTGAGAAAATTCCTATTTAGAATGAACAGCATGTTTAAATTGATGAATTCGTCTCCGAGGTCGGCCGCTGGATGGAATTAACAAGAAGTGAAACAATGCATATGTTTGCAACTAGGCTGGGCCCAGACCTACGTGCAGTGGTGCACTGTTTGAGGAAATCTCGAGGGAATTGAACATGATCCTAGGAAAAAAAAGGGAAAGTATATGTGATGTAAAAATACATAAGATAAGAGTGGGCAGAATGCATATTTTTGGATTGCCAGAAAGCCCTTGACACAATACGAGACCAGTGCACAAGTTGGATAAGCAGGCATGAGTGACATGGAAGCTGTACAATTAAATACGGGAATAATTTAGAGGACAGTTATCTTGAGGTTATCTTGAGATGATTTCGGGGCTTTAGTGTCCCTGCGGCCCGGTCCTCGACCAGGCCTCCACCCCCAGGAAGCAGCCCGTGACAACTGACTAACACCCAGGTACCTATTTTACTGCTAGGTAACAAGGGCAAAGGGTGAAAGAAACTCTGCCCATTGTTTCTCGCCGGCGCCTGGGATCAAACCCGGGACCACAGGATCACAAGTCCAGCGTGCTGTCCGCTCGGCCGACCGGCTCCCAGTGAGAGGTGAGGTGAGAGGTGAGATCTCTCCAGCGGAGTTCCACAGGGTTCAGTTCGCGGACCCATCCTGTTATTTATGTATGTAAATGATCTTCCAGAGGGAATAGACTCATTCCTCTCAATGTTTGCTGATAATGCAAAAGTTACGAGGAAGACAGCAAAACACTCCAAATTTACATGGATAAATTGAAGGAATGGTCCAACAAATGACTATTAGAATATAACTTGAGTAAATGTAAAGTAATGAAACTAGGTGTAGGGAGCAAGAGGCTGGACACAAGGTATCAAATGAGAGATTAAATCCTTGCT